CCTCCGCCCGCGGTAGCCGCCGCCGCCTCGTCTTCCTCTTCTTCCGCCGGGCCCATGTCTGCCGGGAGCGGTAGTAGCGCCCCGGCCCCCTTCCCTCACGGCGGCGATCCGGCCCTGAACGAGCAAGAGAAGGAACTCAAGCGGCGCCTCAAGCGCCTCTACCCGGCCGTGGACGAGCAGGAAACGCCGCTGCCTCGGTCCTGGAGCCCAAAGGACAAATTTAGCTACATCGGCCTCTCGCAGAATAACCTGCGCGTCCACTATAAAGGTGAGAGGAGAGGAGAGGACGGAAAACAAGGCCGAGGCCGCCGCCGCCGCCATCCTGCCCCCTCCCCTCCCCGGGCGCCTCTTTCCACAGACCCTTGCAGGCCGATCAGCTGCTTGCTGGAATGGTCAGCATCTCCCCGAAAGAATCAGGAGGCTGGATTGTCTCCTTTCTTTATTTTAGAGTCCAGATAATAGCTTTTTGTCGCCCTTCCACCAGCCCTCCCCGGTTTTTCCATACCAACAAACCAGTTGGGCCAGTGAACCTTCGTCTCTCATGATTGAACGGTAGCTTCCTTTACTGTTTTGCTCCCATCGACGGAGGAGGAAACCCCCCCCTCTTAATACCTCACTTTTCCCCCCTTTCCACCCTCAGCAGACAATGGTGAGGCAACTACAGTATCAGTTCTTCAACTAAGCTGCTCTCGAAGAGATCGGATGGCATTTGTTTTTGCCCCGGATCGTCACCCGTGCTTTGGTTATTTTTCTTTTTCTTTGACCCATCCTCACTCCCCGAATCGGGTTATGAGCGATCTGGTTTTTCTTGGGAGACTAGGCCTGAGATTACCCTTTAGTCTGTAACCAGATCCTTTTTACTTCTGCGATATTAGAAGAGTATGAAAGAGAGAGGGAACTACTGTATATAATTGATTTTTAAGCCTATTTCACCACTTCCTAATATATTCCTTATTGGGGAGCAGTATTATCTTAGGAACCCGCGTGGGGGAGGGGAATGGAACAAAATAGAACAACAGGAAATAACTCTCATTGGGCCTCCGGAACACTTTAGGAAATCAAGTGGAGACAATCTGATTTTATCCCTCCCTTTTTGCTTATTTTTCTCCGCCCATCAAATATGTGGGGGCACTTGGATGAGTATTTGCTTTCTAGTTTGGGGGAGAAGGATAGATATACTGTCAGGTTCCTTCAGCCGATCAATTCTCTTGTTGAATAACAACTTGGGGTCAGGGGAGGAGAAAGCAAGTCAGTCAGTGTGACGTGTCCAATTAAAAACAACCGGTTAGGGCAAGGAATGTGTGTTTGTTTAGCAAGGGAGCAAAGGTCAGCAAAAGTTGCAAGAAGAAATGTGAAACTATAAAGCATGAGAAAGTGAGAAAGAAAAGCTAGAGAAATGTTTGTTTCTAGAAATTAATTAATCATGTGTGTAACATTGGGCTTATAACTGAATTCCACCATATAGTTTTAATATTTGAATGAATTAAATTAAGATTCCTTTACATGATAAATTGGTGATCCTTGTAAATATCAGGAAGCAGTGATGGGGAAAATAATGTTAACATGCAAAGGAAACTGAAATTTTCTTTTGTGATTTGGTTTCCTGGGACAGTGACATTTTCCTTATGTATGTTTTAATCTTACTGGTGTGCAAAAATAAGGTATAGCTAAATAAAGCAAAATAGTAGTGATAGCAGCTGCTAATTACTTAATGTAGAACTATGCTATTAGAATTCAAAAGACTACAAATTATTACAAACCTAAAAAAACTATTGTTCAAGTGAAGACCTCTTCTGAACTGGTTATGAAAAGGAGGCTTTGATAAGATTGTCAATTGAATGCAGAACAAGAGTGGGAGGTGGAGGGAAGAGCCAGTGTGCTTATTCTTGTCCTGAGAATAATATGAACTTGAGATCTAATTTTAATAAACATGAGATACCTGCTTAAAGTGTAGGCAAATGGTAGAAGAACATATTGTATATTACTTTTTATGACAAGATAAAATATGTTCAACAAAATATTGTAAGTTCTAGTATGTATTCAGTACAAAATACTCAGTGTTAATTGAAAGATTTTGTTTAATACAAAGTTAGGGAAATTGGTAAATTGATGACTAAAATCCTGGGGGCCAAGGTCGAAATAATATTTTAGATTTAAGGGTGCAAATAAAATATTTCAGATAGCCTAACATTTGTCAAACTTGGTTATTCTTGAAATCAGTATATATATTTTAAACTGAAGACAAAGTATTTTGTGGAAAATGCTGTATGTAAGGAAGTAGAGTAAGCTGAGTCCATAATGTTACACCATAATTTATTGTTATGAGAATAGGCCTAGCCTCCTGTGAGATTGTATGTTCTGCTTTTTCCTTTAGAACTCCCTTGAGCTTGATTTTGGAAACCTTTGTTTCTATTTTTGATTAACCACATATTTGTAGCTCATCCAAACTTAGGTTAATCTTAACTGTAGTGAGTGGAATTTAGCCAAACGGAAAAGAGAGTTCATGAGGCTGCCCTGATTTCACTAACCAATAACCAGAATTTAGGAAACACTACAGTTTAGGTTTTGAGATACATGCTAAACTGTGGTTGATCTGGGACAGAAGTAGACACTTCCAGTCTTTAATTGGTGGCCCTGGCAGAAGTGAGGATGGGAAGCTTGTGAACACTGTAGAAAGCTAAACCCATTCTTATAATGCCGAACCATATTAAAACCAAAAAGAAATTCAAACTAATAGATGCATTGAGACATTTAGCATTGAACTGAACATCATACTTGGTTTTTTGTTGTTGTTTATTTTTGTTTTGGCTAACATGGTCATAATGTTTTAAGTAATTTTTGTTTGCCAAGATATGCCTGTTATGTGGTGGTTTATACTTTGGGCATAATTCTAGCTGCCTCATAATTTTCTCTTCTGTATTTTGTTTTGCTCTGTGTTCTTTTTGTGAGATATTTTGTTAACAAGTTAAAAAAAGCATACGCGGTTTGGCTTAATTCTGAAGTATATTTAGTGGTTTCTGTCTTCATTCTGCTGCAATGCTCAAAAATAGCAGTGTTACACTTTTTCAGAAAACTTGCAGAGAGCCATGGCCACACCTGTAGAATATAGGGAAAAAAGCTGTTTAACTGCTTTCTCATGGATTTATATACTGCATTTAGTAATTACTGTTTAGAATTAGGAGGAAAGAATGTAGACAACTAGATTAGGTAGGTATCATTTGAAATTAATCCCAAGCAGTTGTGTATCTGGATATACATAATGATTGAGAGAACAATCTAGTACAGTTTGCTTAGAATAAGTAGGAAAACTGATGAGATACCTCCCCCCCCCCATTGTGAGGGATGGCATGATTTCTAGGTAGGAGAGTAGTTTTTTACATCTGAAGAGTGTTTTAACTATATCAGCTGTAGCACTAGTGGTACAGAAGAACTAGAAGAAACTGGTTACATATATTTAAAAAAACTACGCTACAGCTGAAATATTGGAAAATGAGAGAGAGGTTCTTAAAAGGGAAAAATACAGTTGCATTTTTATGTGTGATGTAATTGTACATTAGTTTGTGAAATTAAGTTTTCCAGGCATTTAAGTAGAGTCAAATGGCATTTTGGAATTAATGAACAGATAAAAGATATCTATAGCCAATTTTATTATGGAGGCAGATCAGGAAGTAAAGATTCTTGTTTGATTTTGTTTTCCAAGTAATTATTTGAATCTGTTACTTTGTGCTGATATCATAACAGCATATTCTAAAGCAATATACAATATGACTTTCAGGATTAATGCAAGAAGGTAAGGAATAAAAGGAACTAGACTAATACTAGATTCAGTGGTACCTGTTTTTACATGGTTTAGGTGTGACTCTTCCCTGTTAAATCCATTCAAATTCAGCACTGACTGGTAAACTAACCAGTATTACACAGTACTTTATTCTTGGCTTGTTTGTCAGTCACATGTAACTACTACGTTGAATAGAATGTTCATTTGAGAAAGAAACTTGCTACTTTTTGTAGTGTAGATGTAAATCGAGGACTCTGCTATTGATTACTGCCTAACTCATGTTACATACAGAACCATAAGGAAACAGAAACAGGTGGTTTTCCCTGCCCTCCTGACCTTCACAAGGAATAGGAGGTACAAGCCTCTGAATTAAATGCTGATTGTTGCTCTTTCAGTCCTATGTAACATATGATGTGTTTGTTTACCAGACGCTGACATGGTTGCCAGCTTCAATATTTGATGCTTTTTTCCTTATCATTTTGTAACATTTCATAGGTATGGGTGGAGAAGTGTTTTGTAATGGGTACAAGCTAGCAAATCAGCACTGAGCATTAGCCCTGTTCCATGAAGTGAGGGCTTCATGATTTCACTCAACAACTGGGCAATGTTTTGCAATTCTGGCTTCAGCTCCAGGATTTTTCCAGGTTTGATTTGTGGGGGAACATGTCATATGCCTAAAACATATTGGTTGAAGTCTTGTTGCTTAGTGTGGTAAGTTGTGCTAAAGTAGGCCCACTGTATTTGGTGAGTCAACTTCTTTGGAAATTCTATTGATTCAGTGGGCTTGTTCTAGTGCAATTCACTGTATGAAGCAATAGGATTCCAGTAATTGTGTTTCCAGCATTGAAACTACATGTATCTGTGTGAACATGAGGATGTAATCTTGGACACACTGCTGAAGAGTAAGTTCCATGACATTCAGCAGGAGTTGCTACTTCTAATTCATCCCTGAGATTAAGCAAAACGTGTTTTTTTAAAAAACTGAGCAACCCCACTGCTCATCTAGTAATTTGTATTAATATCTAAGATTGCTGAAACATTGATAATGTGTTTATGTAAAATGAATCTTTGTTGGATATGAGGTTGAAAAGGGATTACTCTTCATATATGACATTAAAATATTTTAAATCCCTCCCACCAAATGAGGAATGCTACCAATTAGGTAATTGCTCACCAGCAATAAAGTGTAAATGTTTACCTAAATTATTTTTCTTCATATGTGTTGGATGTTAAATGTTGATTAGGTAACTTTACCTAATTTGTGTTACAACACAAAGATAACAGTAGTAATGATCACCTTAGCTTCTGTCAAAGTTCTGATGATTTCAGTGAGACTTCAGTGCAAAGGGTGCAGGGTTTTGCAGCCTAGCATAAAAGCAAGGAGATGGTTGACAGATCAAAGATTTTATTTTATTTTATTGTTTAAACCAGTGTCAAAGAAGTCATTGTCACATTATGGAAGTGAGGTGTCATTTTTATTTTGGAGGATA